GATGGTTTCAGGATGATTCAAACACATTTATTGTGCACTTTATTTCTATTATTATATCAGCTCCACCTCAGACCATTAGGCATTAGATCCTAGAAACTTGGGGACACCTACTCTAAAACACTAATTATAAATACTTTCAAGGATCCAGAGGATAAACACAAGGGAAGAAGTGCTAAATAAAAGAAAGAACCAAGAGAAATTTTAAAGAGTGTAATTTATATGGTCTTTACAGCAGGTTGAAAAATGCAAAAGAAAAGATAAAGATCCTAGATTGTGAAGAAATATTTGCAGTATCTGTCAAAAGACTTGTACTCAAGGTATATAAAGAGCTCTTAAAATGAAGAAGAATACATTTTTAAAATGAGCAAAATATTTTCAGTAGATATTTCACAAAAGATACACTAATAGGTACAAGGAAAAATACTTGAGAGAAATGCAAGTGAAAACCACAGTGTGATGAAAATAGCCTAATAGACAGGCAAAACTTTTAAAAACTGAACATACCAAGGTTATAAAGCAACAGAAACACACATACATTGGTGTTGGGAATGTAAAATGGTATTATTTTGGAAAAGTTTAAGGTTAAACATAAACTTACGACCCAGAAATTCCACCCTTACATATTCACTGGAAAAAAATAGATGTGTATACATCAGTGTTCATAGTGCTTTATTTGTAATAGCCAAAAACTGCAGGTTACTCAAATATCCATCAATAGGTTCAGGGGAAAAAATACTGTGATTTACAATAGGATATTCTCAGAAGGGCTTCGCGGGTGGCTTAGTGGTTAAGAATTCACCTGCCCGTGCAGGAGACACGGGTTTGACCCCTGGGTCGGGAAGATCCCTTGGAGAAGGAAATGGCAACCCACTCCAGTATTCTTGCCTAGACAGGGAAGCGTCGCAAGCTACAGTACATCGGGTCGCAGAGTTGGATGCAACTTAGTGACTAAACGACAATACTCAGCAGTAAAAAGAAATGAAAGACTGATACATGTAACATGTATTAATCATTTAAAAACTGCTCAACGAAAGCCAGACATGAAAGTATGTACTGTGCAGTCTTCTTTGTATGAGATTCAGGAACAAGTAAAACTAGTCTCCAGTAACAGGAGACAGGTCACCGGTTGCCTAGTATGAAGTATAAGGGTGGGAGGTTGACCTGAAAAGGAGGGAACTTGGAGTGAGAGTAATGTTCTACATCTTGATTGTGGTAAGTGCTTACACAAGAGTGCACATTTGTCAAAACTTAAAATGAGTCTATTTTACTGTAAAGTATATGTCTATAAAATTGATTTTAAAGTGTACACCCAAAAAAAAAAAAGTGCACACCCTTCAGTTCAGTCACTCAGTCATGTCCAACTCTTTGCGACCCCATGAATCGCAGCACACCAGGCCTCCCTGTCCATCACCAACTCCTGGAATTTACTCAAACTCATGTCCATCGAGTCGGTGATGCCATCCAGCCATCTCATCCTCTGTCGTCCCCTTCTCCTCCTGCCCCCAATCCCTCCCAGCATCAGGGTCTTTTCCAATGAGTCAACTCTTCCCATGAGGTGGCCAAAATATTGGAGTTTCAGCTTCAACATCAGTGCTTCCAATGAACACCTAGGACTGATCTCCTTTAGGATGGACTGGTTGGATCTCCTTGCAGTCCAAGGGACTCTTTCAAGAGTCTTCTCTAACATCACAGTTCAAAAGCATCAATTTTTCGGTGCTCAGCTTTCTTCACAGTCCAACTCTCACATCCATACATGACCACTGGAAAAACCATAGCCTTGACTAGACGGACCTTTGTTGGCAAAGTAATGTCTCTGCTTTTTAATATGCTATCTAGGTTGGTCATAACTTTCCTTCCAAGGAGTAAGCATCTTTTAATTTCATGACTGCAGTCACCATCTGCAGTGATTTTGGAGCCCCAAAAAATAAAGTCTGACACTGCTTCCACTTACCCCATATAAAAAATAAGTATGTGTTCCAAAAGTAATTTCAAACATAATGAATTGATAGAGTAATTGATAGAGGGGTAGGTCAGCAAAGGTGACTGATTTTAAGACTCAAACTTGAAGGTTTTCCTGTTTATAGAGAAGCTCTTATTAAAGGTACCATCAGTGATGAGGTTGCTCCCTTGATTTGTGTACTTTATGCTGCAGCTGCTTAAGTCACTTCCGTCATGTCTGACTCTGTGAGACCCCATGGACTATAGCCTGCCAGGCTCTTCTGTCCATGGGATTCTCCAGGCAAGAGTACTGGAGTGGGTTGCCATGCCCTTCTCCAAAGGGATCTTCCCAGCTCAAGGATTGAACTCAGGTCTCCCGCATTGCAGGCAGACTCTTTACCATTTGAGCTACCTGGGAAGCCCACATATACTATTTCCAGATACACTATTTTGCTATTTTCATCTGTGACCTGAGATGTACTCATTTTTCTATTTGAGTAGCCTTACGCTTCACTGCACATAAATCAACTTATTTTATAGGTAGGAACTAACTTTGCTATTGGCCCCAGAACCTATGGTAGTTCCACCAGTAGGAGTTAATGATCTTACAATATCTGATACTCTTTCAAAACACTTTTATTCTTTCTCTTCAAATAGATTTGACATTTAAGTGTATCTAAATGAAAATATTTAGCTTGACTCATTTTGGGCTAATATTTCTACATAAGACATTCCAAAATTATATCTGATGTAAAATGTACTTCTTATTTTACATGCTTGTACAAATTAATTTTTCCAAAAGTTAAAATTCAGAGGTGATGGCAGGGGAGGTGGGGGGAGAAATGAAAAAGGAAGATGACAGAAGATTTGGAGGGCAGTGAAAATATTCTGTATAATACTGTAGTAGGGGATCATTGTCATACACTTGTCCAAATTCACAGAATGTACAACACCAAGAGTGAACCCTAAGTAAACTATGGGACTCTGGGTGATTATGATGGTAGTGTGAGTTCTCCAGGTGTAACAAATATGCCACTCTAGTTGGGGATGTCAGTAATAGAAGGCCATGCATGTGTGAGGGTGGGAGGCATATGGGAAATCGTACCTTTCTCTCATGTCTGGTGAACCTAAAACTGCTCTAAAAGATGGTCTTTGAAAAAAAATTGTGACATTTGAAAGATAGGTCATTTCTTACTAAACCTAATAGGACTATTTTTCTTAAGGTTCCCAAGTAATAATCAGTCAAAAAAATAGCGAAAATTAATTCCTTCCCAATAGATCGTTTTGGCTAGTCAGTAATTCAACTTTCTTGGGTAACAACAACTGTAAAAAAAGAAACTTTAAAATACAATTTTATTTTATTATTTTTTTTTCATTTATTTTTATTAGTTGGAGCCTAATTACTTTACATCATTGCAGTGGTTTCTGTCATACATTGAAATGAATTAGCCATGGGTCTACATGCATTCCCCCTCCCAATCCCCCCTCCCACCTCCCTCTCCACCCGATCCCTCTGGGTCCTCCCAGTGCACCAGGCCCGAGCACCTGTCTCATGCACCCAACCTGGGCTGGTGATCTGCTTCACCCTAGATAATATACATGTTTCAATGCTGTTCTCTTGAAACATCCCACCCTCGCCTTCTCCCAGAGTCCACAAGTCTGTTCTATACATCTGAGTCTCTTTTTCTGTTTTGCATATAGGGTTATCGTTACCATCTTTCTAAATTCCATATACATGTGTTAGTATACTGTAATGGTCTTTATCTTTCTGGCTTACTTCACTCTGTATAATGGGCTCCAGTTTCATCCATCTCATTAGAACTGATTCAAATGAATTCTTTTAATGGCTGAGTAATATTCCATGGTGTATATGTACCACAGCTTCCTCATCCATTCGTCTGCTGATGGGCATCTAGGTTGCTTCCATGTCCTGGCTATTATAAACAGTGCTGCGATGAACATTGGGATGCACGTGTCTCTTTCAGATCTGGTTTCCTCGGTGTGTATGCCCAGAAGTGGGATTGCTGGGTCATATGGCAGTTCTATTTCCAGCTTTTTAAGAAATCTCTACACTGTTTTCCATAGTGGCTGTACTAATTTGCATTTCCACCAACAGTGTAAGAGGGTTCCCTTTTCTCCACACCCTCTCCAGCATTTATTGCTTGTAGACTTTTGGATAGCAGCCATCCTGACTGGCGTAAAATAAAATTTTAAAAACAGAATTGCTGGAGGGTAATTTTTAAAGTTTATATTGAGCAGATATTACTAGGCATTAGTCTCATATCACAGAGCACTTTTTTTACAGTAACATGTTCTAAATATGCTTATGATTGTCATTGAGTAAAAATTTAAATTTATGTTATTTACCAGTTAATACACAGGACATATATAAGATCTTTTCATTTAGTAGAGGGTCACCATCATTAATTTCACAACTGATGATTTTATAATAGGTCTTTCTAGTTCTTGATGGTCATTATTGAAGTATATAAAACATTGAAGATATGGCCTGTACAAAGGCAGAACAAGGATCTTAATTAGAATTCTGACAAGCCCACTCCAATAAAATGATGAGATTATTTGTAATTGATGTCACAATCAATTACCACTTAGTTCATCATGAACATTCTAATAGGTCTGGCCTTGGTGTTGGCCCCAGGATGTTGCTGAGTGAGTGGCTGCCCTGCTTATGCTGTTATTGAGACAGGGGGGCACATTTTCAGCCAGCATCCTAATGACCTCTTTTGAAGTCTATTAAATTAATGACCCTGTCACACTGTTTTGATCTCTCATAACCTCAGTTTGGGGTTTGTATAACAAATTAATGTTTGGGAACCATGTGGCAAAAGAGATAGGTCTTTTTAAAAGTTGAAATATTAATACTACTTACTAATATTTAGTAAAATTTATTTTGCCAGAGATAATAGCAAAAATGCAAACCATACGGTCTGACTATATTTTACAAAAGAACTTTGTTCCTTGCTACCTCCAAAAGACATAATTTTTTTATTCATAGCATCCATATTTGTTTTGAAAGGGGGTGCTTTCTTCTCTAATTCTAGGTGCCAAAGGGTCATGTTTGGTTAGAAGGTGATAATCTACAGAATTCTACAGATTCCAGGTACTATGGACCTGTTCCATATGGACTAATAAGAGGACGAATCTTCCTTAAGGTACTACTGTTTTCTGCTTAAAATGCAGGCTTGCTTTTCTGAGCTGGGGGAAAAAACAAACAGAAAAAACCAATTTCTTTCAAATGCTCTTTGAAATCTTTAGGCTGTTACAATGACTACACCTTAGGAGCATGTTAACCTTCATAGCTATAATAAACATTACCACTCCCCCACTATGACAGGTAACTGAGGATATTTTTGTTTGAATAACAAAGTTCAAATTACTTTAGTGGTAGCATAAGCAGCTTTTAACTTTCCAAAATTTAATTTTCTCTCATACAACTTTTCCAACCATATTCATGCCCAGGGCATGTATTAATATGCATTTGCAGAAGAGCAGTCTAGAGTCCAGCTAGCTGGAATGCAGGGATGTCCCAGTTGTTAGTAAGTTAGTAGGAGTCATGTGCCTCGCTGTAGTAAATCACTGAGTCAGAGTAGAGATTATTGTTACTGTTGGCCTTTCCATTTTGTCACAGGCAGAAAGGAGAAAAACAGACATGAGTACTTGGTGCTATTGGATAATTTACAGGATTTTTTACACTTAAGCAGATGTTATTCTCAAGTACTTAGGCTTAAGAGTTGATTTTGACAGTAGTGAAAGAAAATACACACATATTATTTCTTATATAATATTTGAATGTTCCACATTTTAGACTTTAAATATGTACACAAATAAATACAGGTTTACTTTCTATAGTGTTATTTTGATGTGGAAAATTTGTTCTTGATTGTAGAATAAGGAGAAAGGGATGACAAGGGAAATATGATGATGCTATAACATCGCTTTATTAATTGTCTTCAATCACATTTGACTTTACAGATTTGGCCTCTGAATGATTTTGGATTTCTGCGTAACAGCCCTAATGGTCACAGATTCTCTGATGAGTAGCAAACATTTATTCTTTTCATTTGATTATTGTCTTCTGTTCAAATGAGTTTACTGTCACTAAAACCATGTACTTACTAATAAACTGTTTGTTATTCAATTTTTATTTTTAATTGTTAAAAATAAAGAATAAGCACCACACACTCTGGAAGCTATATTTGTTCAAAACATATGGATAAAAATATAATCCAAAATAAGTCATCTAAATTTAGATATAAAAGTATTTTTAGGGAAAACCTAGAACCACCTCACTTTCAAATTTTTGGTTGTATAGGTAAAATGAAAATAATTTACTCCTCTTGAGTATGCCTCATACTTTAGCTACATTTACAAGGTCGAGTAGTAACAAGTCTTATTAAGTCCAAACCAATAATAAATACCAAGAGTTTAACCTAATAAAAAGCTGCCAAGTCACATGCTTGGCTGTCATTTGAAATTAAGGAACAAAGTTTCAGCGATCCCATAAAAGATTTCTTAAAAATTTTTTTAAATGAGTTCTGACTTACCTGTACATAGAATAGTAAATATACAGAAAATCAAAGTCTTTATAGTTAGCTGTAATCAATATCAACACATTTAAAAAGTCCTTTTCATCACACCAGCAACACAACAGTCATGTTTTCTGACTCCAGGGCTATCCTTCTTTCTACAGTTGCCATTTCACTTTATTAACTTTGAAATAACCTAATGAATATCCATATTCAGCTTTCATCATGGGGAAGCTAGGCTTACATGTTATTCACAAGGATTCTAACTTAATTCTAATGACCTGAGATTTGAGAGAGTTGTATAAAAGGCGTATTACTTTAGCAGCTAGATATAGCACGTTACTTCAAAAACATAGCAACTACAAGAGAATAAGATGATTCTATGACCCATTAAAAGAGACATACATACACGAAGAAAGGAAAATTTTTACTTTGTACCAATAGGAAAATGAACAAATAATAAGGTTTTCAGGTGGGAATTTATTTAATATAAATTTAAATTCAAGACCACTTTCTTGCGATCTATAATTATAAATATATATGAATCATGAAATTAATTTTCTCTTAATCCAGGTGGCCTCTGCTTGACAGTCTTATCTTTTCTCTGCAAAAACAGAGCTGACAAAAAAAAGAAATCCTTTTTTTTAATCAGCTTTATACATTTGCTTGAACGGACAAGGGTGGAGTGGCCTCTCCTCCATGTGTCTGAAAACACTAAAGAATTCCACTTAGTGAACAATCTCAGCGATAATGAAGGAGTTCGATAACTAGTGAACATGTATCACAAGAAATCAGCGTAACTTCTTCTGCTTCATCCTTTGAAACACTGTACTTTCCACCACATCGACAGCTCAGAGAAAAGGAATGATCATCTGCAAAGAAAATAAAAAACACTTACATGTAAACACATGTAAATTAACAACCTTTTTAAAAGTAACTTTCCACAAAAAATGCAAAATAAAAGATCTGTCAATATAAAATATATTTAAATGAAAACTTGAAAAAATGTCTTGTATAGGGGCAGTGCTTCTAAAAATTAGTTACTAAAAGGTCATTATCTGTGGAGGAGAAGGATGGAAACTATGAAATGCTAGGCCAAAAATCTCATGGGGGAGAGGAGATGCTCAGAAGTGAGCAATGAAATTTATTTGAAGTCTTATGTTTCTTTAAGATTCATAGAAATTTTATATTCTTCTTAACAGTGTTTGTCTAAAATATTACTGTGAAGGAAAAAGAAATAGCCCTACTTGTCTTATTGTCAAGGAGCATCCCTTTGCTGCAGTATATCATTTCAGAAAAAACTGCTGAATTCAGCAGATTCCTGTCTCTTCTGGTATCACACTATTTCAAGAATTCTGATTAAAATATTAGGTTGGTGCAAGGTTGATATTGGAATACATACTAAATGTGGTCATCATTTTAATGCACATTTCTCACTTTTATGTTTTTTTGCTAATGAATAATTACTTGCTATTTTATATTTATTTTGTACTAGGGAAATGATGTTAGACAAGAAGCAAATCTGAGTTCAAAATGAGTCGTAAAGCAATGGAGATAATTCACAACATCAACAACGCATTTGGCCCAGGAAGTGCTAACAAATGTACAGTGCAGTGGTGGTTCAAGACGTTTTGCAAAGGAGATGAGAGCCTTGAAGATGAGCCTAGTGACTGGCCATCGGAAGCTGACAAGTACCAATTGAGAGCCATCATCCAAGTTAATCCTCTTACAACTACAGGAGAAGTTGCTGAAGAACTCAACGTTGGCCATTCTACAGTCATTCAGCATTTGAAGCAAATTGGAAAGGTGAAAAAGCTTGAAAAGTGGATGCCTCATGGCATATAAAAAAATCATTTTGAAGTGTCATCTTTTATTCTACACAACTATGAACCATTTCTTGATGGGACTGTGATGTGAGATGAACAGTGGATTTTGTACAACCACCAGTGATGACCAGCTCAGTGGCTGGACCAAGCAGCGGCTCCAGAGCACTTCCCAAAGCCAAACTTGCACCAAAAAAAAAAAAAAAGTCCTTTGTCACCGTTTGGTGGTCTGCTGCCAGTCTGACTGCAGCTTTCTGAATCCCAGCAAAACCATTACATCTGAGGTACGTAATGAGAGGTATGCTCAGCAAATCAAGATGCACTGAAAACTGCAACACTTGCAGCCAGCATTGGTCAACAGAATGGGCCCAGTTCTTCTCCACACCACCACCTGACGGCACCATCACACATCCAGCCTTTCAAAAGTTGGATGAATTGGGCTATGAAGTTATGCCTCATCCACCATATTCACCTGACCTCTTGCCAACCAACTACCACTTCGTCAAGGATCTCGACAACTTTTTGCAGGGAAAATGCTTCCACAACCAGCAGGATGCAGAAAATGCTTTCCAAGAGTTTTGTTGAATCCTGAAGCATGGATTTTTTTTTTTTTTTGAAGCACGGATTTTTATGCTATGGGAATAAACAAGCATTTCTCATTGGCAAAAAATGTGTTGACTGTAATGGTTCCTGTTTTGATTAATAAAGATGTATTTTAGCCTGGTTATAATGATTTTAAGTCCATGGCCTGAAAACTATAATTACATTTGTACCAACCTAATATATAAACATACACTATGGTGTTCTTTCTGTGGGGGCTATGTGTGTGTGCCTGTTTGTTTGGTGTTTACAAATGATGGAAGAACCAAAAGGACAATCACTGAAGTGAGATGCCCAAAGGAGGCAACATTTTGCCTACTAATGGTGATAATTTTATAAGTCTGTCATCTTCCTGGTAAGTTGAAAACTTGTTTCTTTTACCAGAAAGAATCTCTGATCCACTGGTTATTTCATTTTACTGTCACTGAAAAATAATTACTAATCATATTATTTAACTAGCATCATGAAAAAACTAGGGATAAATGAACTAAATCTCTAAAGATACTTCTTATAATTAAATATCTTCAGTTCAGTCGGCTCAGTCATGTCTGACTCTTTGCGACCCCATGAACCACAGCACACCAGGCCTCCCTGTCCATCACCAACTCCTGGAGTCTACCCAAAACCATGTCCATTGAGTCAGTGATACCATCCAACCATCTCATCCTCTGTTGTCCCCTTCTCCCCCCACCCTCAATCTTTCTTAGCATCATGGTCTTTTCAAATGAATCAGCTCTTTGCATCAGGTGGCCAAAGTATTGGAGTTTCAGCTTCAACATTAGCCCTTTCAGTGAACACCCAAGACTGGTCTCCTTTAGGATGGACTGGCTGGATCTCCTTGCAGTCCAAGGGACTCTCAAGAGTCTTCTCCAACACCACAGTTCAGAAGCATCAATTCTTTGGTGCTCAGCTTTCTTTATAGTCCAACTCTCACATCCATACATGACCACTGGAAAAACCATAGCCTTGACCAGAAGGACCTTTGCTGGCAAAGTAATGTCTCTGCTTTTTAATATGCTGTCTAGGTTGGTCATAACTTTCCTTCCAAGGAGTAAGTGTCTTTTAATTTCATGGCTTCAATCACCATGTGCAGTGATTTTGGAGCCCAAAAAAATAAAGTCAGCCACTGTTTCCACTGTTTTCCCATCTATTTGCCATGATGTGATGGGACTCGATGCCATGATCTTAGTTTTCTGAATGTTGAGCTTTAAGCCAACTTTTTCACTCTCCTCTTTCACTTTATCAAGAGGCTCTTTAGTTCTTCATTTTCTGCCCTAAGGGTGATGTCATCTGCATATCTGACGTTATTGATATTTCTCCTGGAAATCTTGATTCCAGCTTGTGCTTCCTCCAGCCCAGCGTTTCTCATGATGTACTTTGCATATAAGTAATTAAATAAGCAGGGTGACAATATACAGCCTTCCTATTTGGAACCAAATATCTTCACTCAATCCCATAACTTCATTTTTTAACATCAAGATCTCATCATATGCCATGAAAAGAAAAAGAAAAAAAATTCAGCTGCTTTATATTTATTCTCTAACCAAGTTTGGTCTTGGGAAAACAATCAACTAAATAAGCCAACTTTACATGTTTCTTTTATCAGTAAATGTTAGCCACTCAGTCGTGGTCTGACTCTGTGACCCCACGGACTATAGCCTGTCAGGCTTCTCTGTCCATGGGATTCTTCAGGCAAGATCCTGACCCATGGATCGAACCCGGGTCTCCTGGATTGCAGGCAGATTCTTTACCACTGAGCCACCAGGGAAGCCCATTAAAGAGGAGAGAAGCTTTACTTTTCTAAGACTTTTCTATGCTGTGCTGTGCTTAATCGCTCAGTCATGTCCAACTCTGCAGCCCCATGGACTGCAGCCCGCCAGGTTCCTCTGTCCATGGAGATTCTCTAGGCAGGAATACTGGAGTGGGTTGCGATGCCCTCCTCAGGGGATCTTCCCAACTGAGGGATTGAACCCATGTCTCCAGCATTGCAGGATGACTCTTTACCATCTGAGCCACCAGGGAAACCCAAGAATCCTGGTATGGACAGCCTATCCCTTCTCCAGGGGACCTTCTCAACCCAGGAATTGAACTGGGATCTCATTACTGGCGGATTCTTTACCACCTGAGCTACTAGGGAAGGAAAGGAAGGAAACATTAATTCACAGTGCTGCTTTTCATTTTTCACCACAATGCTTTTCTTTATCTATAAAGAAAAATAATTTAATCTTGAATTTTAAAATGCTAACATCCCTCCCTATCTGAGCTAACATATTGTGTAATAGAACATGATTCCAAAGTGAATTGTATTTTTTTAATTAAATTGTCTAAAAATGTGCATATTCTAATCATTGGTTTTCTTAAATCTCCCTCTTGTTTTTTCACCACCTCAGTGAATACTGAGAAACACTGTGAGGTGACTTGTGCTTAGTAAATGATGCAGAGGACACCATGGGCTACTGTGGAGTTTTGTCATGATGATTCCAAATGTTAACTTACATCTTGTTAACTTTCTTAAATTATTCTACTATCACTTAACAAAGTGTTATCTTCACAGAAATCATAATTTTAAATATACTGAATGAAGACAAAACATACAAGTTATGTATAACACACTTACTGTAAAGGCAATGGCTAACTTCATTCTCTCAAGTTCTTCAGGTATGCCTCAATTTTAAGCATCATAAAATGCATCATTTCCTACTGTTCTTGGACCAAGAAGTTAATAGTTTGGCTATGTTTATCATGTATGATTTCATCCACTTTTCTCCTGTTTTGGATCTTTACCTTCCAAGGTTATTCTGAAAACAACCATGAAGGCACATCATCAACTGATTTTTTACTACTTCAGTTGATCACACTTTTTACTTAATTACATCTGCCGAGACTGCTCTTTGTAATTGCAAATAACAGTTCAAGATCACAAATTCAATTGCAAAACTCACATGACCAGTTTTTAAATATTCCTGCAAAAAAATGACTTCATGCAGCTCTTGCTTAGGATTTTCTCTCATAAGGATAAGGATTATTTCTATCTTTACAATGATTTAAAAAAACCTTAATGTAAATAAGTATCTAAGAACAGTCTATGCTTTTAAGATTAACTGTAGCTGCTTCTAACTGATTCCACTGGCTGTAGCTGGGATGCTTCTATTTTCTTCACTGCCAGGGAATGTACTGTACTTTTAAAGTGCAGTGAAAGTGAAGTCGCTCAGTCGTGTCCGAGTCTTTGCGACCCCATGGCCTGTAGCCTACCAGGCTTTTACGTCCCTGGGATTTTCCAGGCAAGAATACTGGAGTGGGTTACTATTTCCTTCTCCAGGAGATCTTCCCGACCCAGGGATTGAACCCGGGTCTCCCGCATTGTAGGCAGACGCTTTACCGTCTGAGCCACCAGGAAAGTCTTACTATACTTTAGGGTATCCCAAAGACAGCAACATTTATGGTGGTACTTGATGATTTAATGTTGTACATGTCCTTCAATATCTTGGTATTTTCACTTGTTATTAAAAATCCCATATATCTGCTGACTGAACAGATGCTTGAACAACACTAATCCATAGCCTTAATTTAAAATAAAATTTTAAATTATATTTTAAAATTTTACTGAAGTAAAAATTAAAAAAAAAAGTTTTCCCTATTTTCATAGTATCAGGAATTATTAGTAAATAAAACATACTAGTCACATGAAATACAACAAGAACTAATTTGTTCAATAAGAGATTAAACACATACACAGACTGATAAACTGGTGATACTGTATCTTCAAAAAATACTGTTTAGCTGGGTAGATCTCTCTGATCAATAACATCTTCTAATCTATCCCTTTTACAAACCAGCAGTGAAACCAGTATCACTGGTGTATTTTATTTTCACAGCCCAGTGGCTCTTCCTGTTTACTCTGATGAAACTATCGTAAACCCTGGGAGCCCTGTTACAGAAAACCTCAAGTCTTCCAATATTCACTGCAAGTAAGAATCTCTACTCAGGATTTACATTTGGCAGCTGAGGCACAGAGTGGCTCATAAACAAAAACATGATTCCCCTTGTAAGTCAATACAGCTTGAGACTCAACTTCCTAAGAGCACTAAGTTGAGAATTTGCCATTAAAAAATATTCCAGTAAACCTGGTTTTGGAAAGGACAGGCTGTTTATCTTCTACTTATCCACACTTACTAATAAATTTTTATAGATTCCTAGGAATTTGTACTCCAGGGTGAATAGTAAAGTTACAGGATTGAGAGTATATAAATATTTTAGAGGGGATTCCCAGGTGGCTCAGTGCTAAAGAATCCACCTGCCAATGCAGGAGATGCAGGTTTGATTGCTGGGTCAGGAATATCCCTTCTAGGAGAAAATGGCAACCCACTCCAGTATTCTTGCCTGGAAAATCGCATGGACAGAAGAGCCTGGTGTGCTACAGTCGATGGGGCTGCAAAGAGCTGGACATGACTGAGTGACTGAGCACACACAAATGCACAAAAATTCTAGAAAACAGTAAGATTTCTTCATTTGTCCAGAGAAACGTGGAAGTGTGGTATTCATGGCTTCCACTTTTAAAAATGAGAACTGAATAAAATTTCACCAGAGCAATTCACAGAACTAATCAAAGAATGAAAAGTTAGATTTAAGTTTTTAAACTCTATTAATGGGGAAGGAGAAAAAGACATGACTCGTGGTTGGTAAAAAAGGAGTGACAGATTTTTCTTGTCCACCTAAGACACAATCAAAAAGGAAGGATAAACATAAAGCTCCAAAATTCCTGCTCTGACAGTTTATGAGTCCATATTGAGAAACAAAAATAAACATTTGTGTTGTTCATTCACTAAGTTGTGTCTGACTTCGCAAGCTCACAGACTGCAGCATGCCAGGTTCTTCTGTCTGTCTCTTGGAGTTTGCTCAAATCCATGTCCATTGAGTCGGTGATGCTCTCTAACCATCTCCTCCTCTGCCACTCCCTTCTGCTTTGCCTTTAATCTTTCCCAGCATCAGGGTCTTTTCCAATGAGCTGGCTCTTCACATCAGGTGGCCACTGTATTAGAACTTCAATATCAGTCCTTCCAATGAATATTAAGGGTTGATTTCCTATAGAATTTACTGATTTGATCTCCTTGCCGTCCAAAGGACTCTCAAGAGTCTTCTAATTCAAAAGCACCAATTTTTCGGCACTCAGCCTTCTTAATGGTTTAACTCTGACATCTACATGACTACAGGGAAAACCATAACTTTGACTATACAGACCTTTGTTGGCAAAGTGAAGTCTTTGCTTTTTAATACACTGTCTAGGTCTGTCATAGCTTTCCTTCTAAGGAGCGAGTGTCTTTTAATTTCATGGCTGCAGTCACCATCTGCAGTGATTTTGGAGCCCAATAAAATAAAACCTGTCACTGCTACCACTTTTTCCCCTTCTACATATATTCTAATAGAAATTCATCTCAAGTGTCAACATAGCATGGAAGAAATTACCTCTTTGACTGTATTTTTCCTCTTACACAGATGGAGAGTAAACCAAAAATCAAAGTAGTTTAAAAAAGAAATCCATATGAAACCTTAAGTACCTAACATCTAATTAGGACAGAAAAATAACGGAATGAGTCACAGAGGGGGACACCAATAACTGAAGTTTAGAATGAAACAAAAATATTCCAAACAAAAACACCCACATATATGTAAAAAGCCAAGCTGTTATTTTTAAGATTTCTAAACATCCTATGAAGTTGTTTCATACAAAGTCCCTAATATTTTTCCTGATTGTAATCAAGAGAAAAAAATAATTCCAACCTTCATTCCAAGACATTTCTTCAAGATATATTCGAGCATCTACTGGTCCCATATTTCTTAGATCATCTTCTGTAAAATATAGAATGAGATACTTTCTTTTGATATTTAAGTTATAACCATGAAGAATGCTAAGAAGGCAACTCCAGCTTCGTCACTACAATTCTAATTTTAAAACTTAGCTTACTACTTTTGATACCAATTTTAAAGCTACCTGACTTCAGCTGACAAAAAAAAAAATCCAGAACATCTTATAAACACCATTTTTCCTAAGTATGCAATAAGTAAAACCATGAAGTTGGTTTTGATGACTCTGCAATCAACTAATGAACTGCATTTTGTAGGGGAAAATTTTCAGAGAAACTATCTGTGTGACCAACGAGGACAATGTGGAGCCAGGTAAAAATTATTTGAACCTTAATTATATTTTACTAGTTGTCAGACCTTAAGTATTTCAGATTATCTCTCATCTTCTTTATAAGGGTCACTCTGGATTGAATTATGTCCTATCCCCCAATTTCTTATGTTGAAGCCCTAATTTCCAACATTACCATATTTGTAAATAAGGCCTTTAGGAGATAATTAAGGTGAAACGAGGTCAGAAGACTGAGGTCCTAATCTGGTAGAACTGATGGCCTTACAAGAGGAGGAGGAGAGAGGTCTCTCTCCACTCACATGCACAAAGGAAAGGATGAAGACACAGCAAGAAAGTGCTCCTCTGCCAGCCAGAAAGAGACCTGACCAAGACCCTTATCAACTGGAACCTCATCTTGGACTTTCCTGCCTCCAGAGCTGTGAGAAACAAATTTCTGTGGTTTAAGCCACGTGGTCTATGGGATTTTGTTACGTCAGACATTTTTATTATGCCTTTCAATCAACTGAGATCAGGCTAAAAGTGTTTTAAAGAATAAGGTTCTAATCAAATGTAAGTGGCTATTGGTCATCTGATTTTTATTTGCTCACAAGACAGTGACGGGTAACTTACAAGTAAAATTATTTTAAAATATGTCAATAACCATGCAACACAACCTTTCTGTGTTGATGTTCCACTGCTGTTTTCTGGGCCAGAGTTTTCCCTGCAGATGGAAAGTCCAAAGAACCCTGGGGTTCCACCTTAGTAGGAATTTAGTAGGAATGGTCTAGGTAGTATAAGCATGCACTCTTGCTTAAAACAAGTGTACTTTAAGACAAAGAAAACAACTACAGATGAGAAGAACTTGTCTTTGTTTTTAAAGGCATGTTATACTTCCCGTATGCTTGTACTGTTCTTCTAGAAGTCAATGCTTAAAAGATACTACTAAAGTCCACCCCTCCACCCCAAGGAAATTTTCTTTAGCTGTCTCACTAGTCTCTTGTTCACTTGCTGAGAATGCTTCCTTTTGTTCCATTATGTGAATGCCTGCAATTTAATTATATTTAATAACTGCCTGTTCAAACTTTATTGGTGAGTTACACAATTTTAAAATAGATGAAAAGATTTTACAATATTTTGAACTCAGCATGGTTTTCTATTAAGGTGTGTCAAATATTGTATCACTTCATGTTTACTGGCTACCAACACTCTATTAAAGTGTCCTAAAACTCAAAGATAAAGACTTTTGCAAAGTGACCAAGGGGTGGTTCTTCCAGCTTTGTGTGTCCACTTAATAGCCTATCCAAAGTATATCAGTATGCAAGGTCATTTCTGAAGAAACCAATTTAATTTCCACGTTCTATATACGTTTACTTGGCCACAGGTTATTCAGTATTCTAAATTAAAGAGAAAATTTTTACCTAGAAGTCTCATGGATTTTATCATGTTTCAATTTCTTGCTGGAAGGACCAAGAAAATTTACTTGAATGCAGAAATGAAACACTGTTTTAGAACTGAAGAATGGGAGTAACTGATACTTAATAGGGCTTGGTTAGGGAGAAGACAGGTATAAATAATTTACAATCAAGTTGCCTGTATTCCAGGGTATCTTACAGATAAGATATTTTAAGTAATGCTGAAATCAGAGGAAATCAGACCAGAGGTGATGACAAGATGAGAATAAACCTTAATTGAACCTATCTTGGACATCTGTAATACATTAATTGTACAAAAAGACAATCCAGCCATAGGTATTCATTATGCCATTTTTATTTTAAAAATAATTAATGAGACATAAGTGGCAAATGTAACTGTTGAGCAAGTCAGGTTTGTATTGTTCTGCTTCTCTACAAGGAAGCCACTGTTATTATCACGTAGTTACTATTTCATGTGGGAACCCTTTCTATTATTCCACCTACTCAAAAAAAGTGGCTTTTACATTTTTATTATTTTTTAAAATTCTTTCTGCACAGGAACTTTAGCTAAGTACTTAGTTGAAATATCAGTTTAGACCACATCTCATGGTAAAGGGAAAGAAAATAAAACACAAAAATGGTTAGCACTTTATCCAAGGTCAGAGTTAAAAGGAGTCTTTAAAACATTCTCCTGTTCTATGGCCATCTAAACATTTATATATCGACCTGATATTCAATACTATGTGCACATAATCCAAGTTTTGTGGGGATTCTGGTTTGAAAGATCAGTATCTGAGCCAAGGGAAAACACAGGCTTCCCCTGCAATCAAAGTAGTGTGTTCCTATGAAAGCTTTTGTAAGCCAAGGTGGGAAAAGCAAGGAAGCAATTACCTCAAGACACATCTTCCTAATGGATGCACAAAATAATTCCAGATAAAGCACAGATGCTCACAGACCCAGTTCAAAGCTATGGTGGCTTGGTGCTGAAGGTACCATAGTTCCCAAAGTGGGTGGGGAAGAGAGTTTGGTGGTGCCCCTGTGGCCGCTCGGGGCTCAGGGTGCATGCTACCTCTATAAGGGGCTCACAGAAAAGCAAATGTTGAACATTATTTTCATTTTTCACCTATTTTCATAAAAGTGAACACCCTCTTTATTTCCATTAAATGAAGGCTGACTCTCATGAAAGAAAAATGGCATAAAGTGAATTTTTGTAAAGTGGAGGGTACCTGCAACTATTTGATTTCCATATCATATGAAATTTTACAGGCAAAACTATCCTGTGATGTTGGACCTGGGAAAGTGAGCAGTGGTTGGAAGGAGTCACAGGGGCCTTCTGGGGGTCCTGGTTTATTAGATGGATGTGTTTACTTTGAAAATTCATCAAGCTGTACACTTAGGACTGGCGCATTTCTCAGTATGTATGATATACTTGAATAAACTTTTAAGTAGTATGTTAGAACTCTAATGTCTATATTTTAAAATAGAAATAAGGAGAGAAAAATTAGGGGAAAGAAGTAAAGAGCTCCATAAGAAACTGTGTATCCTTTGAAAGAACCATAATCTAACAACTTCTGAAAAAGGTTGGGGGTGATTAAGTCAGAGGAAAACTGGATCCCTGGAGAACTGTATAATGAGCAGAGGGGGTACACAGAAGGAAAAGGTGAATCTAAACGGGGGGGGTGGGGGTAGGGGTGGGAGGGAGGAGATCACGATCTTTTGTTAAGAGGCAGGTGTCCAGGGAATGGGGCAACAGTACCCCCCCCAACTAGGATTACAATGAAGGAGCACAAACAAATCAATGTGCTTTTTTTTCCTTTTTAAACAATGATCTCTGCCTGTCCACCATTGTAGTTATAATTAGAAAACGTAATTCCTCCCTAGCCCTTAAAGTAACTCACTGGAACCCTGTAATTAGCTTTGATTATTATCTACTAATCATGCATTGTATCTACCAAAGATGTAAGCTTGTTTTCTTTTGAGTTTTACATATTATAAATGTTTTTGCTCATTACAATGAAATATTGTAATAGGTATCTGAAAATGTAAACTCCATCTCAAAGTTCTCCTTCATATGACACTACTAAAAATGTTGAGAAAACAGAAACTGACTTAGAGATTTAATTAAATAAACAGACAGATCCAAGATTTTAATCTGGAATCTTAGCTACAATATGGTAATAAAAAAACAAAATGACAAACAGTCTCTTGGAAAGAAGACACATAGCCTGGCATTTGGTGAACTCCATCTTGAGTCCAGTGACACTACGTGATTCCAAATTCTTTTGAAGTGAATGGGTTCAGCTTTTTCTACGGTATACAGGAACATTAAGGTCTGTTCAAACCCAATGCTGTGCTGACAAAGCTTAGGCAGATATGGCGACAAGAAAAACTGCCAGATTTACTTACATGTAGAAAACAGAGCGCTATCATTAACTAGGGATTCCCTACCAATGTAATGATAAAGTCAAATAATTTATGTGCTTACTTGAAAAAGAATCTTTCAACCTTTAGAAGTATAGGCCCTTCTGACCTTGTGTTCTATTGGATTTGTCTGACAACAAGAAGTGAAAGAATTCTGTGGCTCCATTGTCTCAACAGTGGGATCTAAGAAAACACTGGCAGGACTCATCAGAGAGGTTTATGAGCCTGCAATTCAAAGAGATTAAAAGGAAAATCTACGGAGATTCTTTCACACTGAAGAATAACATTAAATAACTATTAGCAGCTTGGTTCAGTAAAGCTTACTAGAGCTCTCGCTGGGTCATTCACAACTTTCTAAGAGAGGAAAGGTTTTTTTCAGCTCCATTTGGGAATCAATAAATATTTCTTACTTCTTAAAAGACAATGGAATTCCAGTCCTTTAAAACTTCCTCCTAATGATAGTAAAATTTCTAAAACAGTCCTTTGTTTGCTGCCTAAATAATTACACTTCCTAATCCAGGGAAACCTTTTCTAACTGTAGCTACAATTCAAATAAATAAATAAAAATAAATAAATGACTGCAACAAAAAGCTACCAAGAAGAAGAATTTAACTTTATGGACGAGATATCTAAAAATCTCATTCAACCACTCAACCCAATATGGACCAAAAGATCCAGTCTAAATGTAACTGTGTCCCTACTATTCAAGTATGGGACTGCTGTGTGTTACTCAAGCGCTCCCCAGAACACTCTTATTTAGCAATTAGTTTACTGTATTTATTTTTATGCCATTTAAAATACTTAAAAGTTTATTTCAAACTGACAGATGCCATCAAGTGTGTTAAATGCAAATAGCAGCATTTTCCTTCAGGTCTAAACTCAGT